AGATCATAGCAACTTTGTAACTCCCGTTCGAAAAAATTAGGCGTTCAGCTTTGTTCAGAGAAAAAAATATAGGTGTTTAATATTGAATGGGCGTGGTCTAAAATATTCGAATTTTCAAATTTGACGACGGAATCCTCGAACCAGTAAGTACAGTATGCCATCTGCAAAGCAACAGCTCTCAAATATAAAACACGGCGGAGGTATAACTGGTTTGTCAATAATGATTCACAATCATTGGGAACATGAGGTGTAAAAAAGTGAAATGAATTAAATAAAGCCAATTTAGTCAAAAACGTCAAAAATGACCCTCCCGCTAACCGAAAACGGGGCGGAAATATTTATTTTGGGCTTTTTGACCCCAAACCAAGTTATTTTTTCATTTTGGAGGTCCCTTTACCCAAAAAACAGGGCCGTTAAAAATTCATGACATCACCCAAAAATATTCGTATCCGTGCCCACCCCTAGTATAAGACCCAACGTTGGCACACTGCCTTTTGGCCCACCCTGTATATTTAGTATATATAATACCTCTAGTAACTCTCTTGTTACTCCAAGTCTCCTAAGATATTCTGGTCTTAAGTTCGTGCTAGTTATATATATAAAATATATTTTTGTCTGCTTTAATTGATACTAAATGAAATTGTTGGTTTCTTGAAATTGTTGTTTTGTTGATCTAAGGAATTCATTGTGTTCAAACAGCCATTATAACCGAACAATCTTTAGTTTTGGCTCATATTTTTACACAAGATAAGATACCTTACTTTGAAGATGATGTGATCTTACTGATGACACAGCATGAATACAGTTAATTGATTGAGTTAGGATTTCCACTATGTTTCAAGCAAGCCACTAGTAATGAAAGTGATAGAATTTTACCAAGGAAATTTTGCTTATCAAATGTGCGCATATGTTTACTTTGAAATTAAATTGTTGCAGAAAATTGTGGCTGTGAGTTGATTACAGTGATTAAAGCTTTGTGTAGTAATGTAATTTCATGTTAAAACAGCTTTGCTCCTATGATTGAAAGATAATTTTCTGACTTGATAGAAGTAAAGCTAACACATTAATTAGAATAATTCATTGCGTCACATTGATTTTGTCAGATTAATCGAAACTTAATTGCATTGTGTTGTTCAGCTGCATGGGATTGGTTGGAAGAGAAATACAATGTTTTACGGAAGAGACTGGACCAACTGGGATACAGGCAGACCCTGGACGTCTCATCAGTTCCTCTTGTCGAAAAGTTATTCGCCTGACCTATTCACACAACAGAGAGTTTTAAAGCAAGCAAACAGCACACTGCATCTTTAAAGGTGATCATTAATCCTGTCTAGATTCCTGAATGGAACAGTGGACTATGTTTCATAAATGACGGACACACTTTTAACACTAATATAGAAAAGTTTAAATTGACATGACGTCATCTTTTTTGAACAACGATTTAGGCCAACATGTATTTATTTTAAAAAATATATAAAATCAAATGAAATGGTCGTTCAAGCTTGTTTTTACTCTTATATTTCCAGGAAGAAAGCCAAGCAATCATTCAACAAGGTGATCCATACAAAGCTGAGAACACTCGACTGCTCAGAGAAAATAATGATCTACACATTCAAATTATCAAGGTATAATGCAGCTTGTATTCAAATGAAAAAAATAGATAATTTAGATATCGTAATGATAAGAACAGCATGATGCATTATAAAGTCTATTATATAATAGTGACATTGAAAGGCAAAACACAAACACTGAATAGCTAAATAATTATACAGGAATTTTAGCTCACAAACTTCAGGTGAAAGAAGAAACTGATGGTAAAGTCAAAGATCTGAAAAGTGCCCTCAGGAAGTCAGAACATGAATGTGCAGATTTGCAGTTTTTGAATTCCCAATATGCTCATAAACTGAAAGCCTTACAAAAACAAGAGCAAGCTAAATCCACCAGAATACAACAGCTTCACGTAAGTTCCATCTGGAAATCAGGAAATTGTTCTCTGAATGTTTGCCTTAAAATTATATCATATTTTTTGCTTGTATATTATATTACATTATTTTTAGGAACGAAATATGAATGCAGTGGTCGAAACCCCTGGTGGCAGACGACGCCACATTGCCCAAAGAAGACCTGTCCTTGAGATGAACACTTCACTGCCCATGTCCCCTGGATCCGACATTCAAACACCCACAAAACCTCAATCAGATCCCTACATGTGTGATCTGCTTCGTGTTGCAGATCAGCAGATTGCAGAACTCAACAGACAGGTCAAAAACATGGAGGGAAGCAAATGCAGCATCTACAAGGAAGAGTGAGACGTTGGTAAAGCAGGTCACTTTAAGAGACAAGGAGATTGATAGGCTACAACATTTGTTGGAAGGTGGCAGACCTACTAAGGCCATGATAAACGATGGGATGGCTGAGAGCACTGAAAGAGTTATCTCTCATCTTAATATCCAGGTGAACACTTGTTAACCACCTTCTTGAACTTGAATAATTCAAAAGCAAGTAATGCTAGACTTGATAAAAATTACCTAAAGCTGTACATTGTTTTTAATTTTGGGTTGATCTAAGCGATTGAGAAGCATTATAAGCTTTCTGTTGTTTTTCACTTTAGACATGATCTAAGCAATTGACCAACTATGTTCATCTAGGTCGAATATTTGCAACAAGCCAACAGAGAACTGGATGCTAAATTGAGAGCCTCACTGGCTAAACAGCGAGAGGAAATGGAGGGAAATAAGGTTATTATTCATTCACTTTATTTCACGTTATTTCCTTTTAGAAATAAAGTTTTCCGTGCAGTGTTCATAAACCGTATCATTCGTTCATTCTAAACCTTATCAGGCATATCAAACCAAGGAACACAGACCTGCAACAAAAATACAACAAAATTCAAGAAGAGCTAGAAAAGATGAAGGTAGAAAAGAACGCACGCCTCGGAACATACGAAACAGAGCTTGACATGAGTCTTCCACAAGAATAAAAGACAAAGAGAACTTGTTCGAGGAGAAAGCAGCACAGCATGTTGCTCTACAAGAGAAGGTAGACGAGCTAAAGTTGGAGAAGAAAGATCTAGTGAAGTTGCTGACGGAGTCTCATGTTGAGACGGAGAGGTTCACTCTAGTGGTGAAGAGATTGGAGGAGGATAAGAAGGAGGCGGGCAGACAGATCAGGGATCTGGGGGAGGAGAATAAACAGCTGAAGAGGAATGTGAACAGGTGAATAAGTGACCATCTGTTTTTTTCTTACTCGATCACACAATTTAACAGGAATTGTAATTGAAAAGTTTTTGCATTCGGCATGACACATTCATGCTCCCAAATTATATACTTTTACTGTGGTAAAATTTAAATAGGATACGGTTCATTAATTGCTAAAATTAAAGATTTAACTGAGTTGTCGAATAAATCTAATATTTATCTCAGTTTGGAGCATATCACCTCGTTAAAGACAACCAACTTGGAGCAAACAGAAAGGAATGGCTGAAGCTAACTGGCAGGACCAGATTGATAAGTTGACTGATGAGAGGGACTCTAATAAAAATCAGATTACAGTTCTTTTGAAGGTTAAATTTTAAAAAGTTACAAAACTTTCAAGTATTAATTAAATCATCTGCCAAAGTCTGTTTTAAAAATGTAATTTCTATAAGCACACTGCGGTGTATCATACGTCTGTCCAAATACAGGAGGTAGACGATGTACAGAAGGAGTAGAACCTGAAATCAGAAGAAGTTATTATTACAGACAAGAGTGCTCCAATTTACAGTCCCTTATCTCAAAATACACTATACCTGCAAGGGAGAATGAACCGGTTAGTAATTAGTTAATGAAAGATGATGATAATTATTCACAATATATCATCTTGAATATATATAATATATATTATGTAATACATCAACAACTATGTAATTTAAATCAGTCTATGTAGCTAATTACACTGTACACAATTAAAATACTGTAAGTTTTACCAAACTCCCCACCCTTGGTCTTATCTCCTTCATTCCTAGCTATCACAACTGGAGAAGCTGTCAACTGAACGAGATAAAGCAAAGCGGCAAGTTTCTGAACTGCAGGAGTGAGATTCTGAACCTAAAATCTAATGTCCGTCTCGTTACCTCGGAGAGAGACAACATCGATGCTCTCTACCTTCAGGTTTCTAAAATCTTAACATTATAAATCTGTGGACAGACATGTACCTAAAGTGTTGCCATTTTAAATTTTACCATTACTTTAATCAAGCTATAAGTTATTCTGAACTTTGTAAGTAACTCCATTTCTTTCTTCCTCAATTTCCTAGTTGTTTTTATGCTCCAAACCTACCACGTGTACTAATACCGTGTCTCAACCAGGCAACTGATGAAGTAAAGAGACTTCGTTCTGAACAGACTGATCAGTTACTGGCGGAGTCAGGAGCATCTCTCAAGATAGAGCGAGATAACGCCATCACCAAGCTAAAACAGGTTAGTCAGCTGTCTCGTCATAATGTTACTGGTTTACTGGTTACTATTTTGGTGAACTATTGAACAATAATTTACAATAGAATTAAATGTATGCCAACATAATACAAAATTTTCTTATATGAAGTGGCATATTTCAACCAACAAATCAAATAATCATTGCCCAGAAATGAATATTTGACTTGTTTGCAGTTAGTCTCATTACAATAATCTAAGAAACAACTTACTGAAGCACTTTGGAAGGTCCACATCAGATGTGAACTCAGTTCCAGTCACACAGGTTACAGTAGCTTCTTCACCCGCTTGTTTCCATCCTCTAGCACACTTGACAGTTAGTGTCGAGTCTGGATCAGCTGGAAGTGTTCCCTCTGTGATCCTGTAGTTCCAGTCTTGTGGGTAGTGCTGTGCACGGGTCGGGGTCATCTGAAGAGTGTGACAAATTTATTAAAAATGAATATTTTCTACTACTATTCGAGTTTAAGAACAGGTTACTTTTGTTATAGAATTAGAGATTTAAATTTCTCTTACCCGTTGAAAATCGGTATTGTTTCGAAGCTGTGTCCATAAAATTTGCCAGATGGAATTGGATACTTGTTGCCTTGTATTTCATCCAGCAATCGGCGACTTCACTAAAGTCCCAATCTACTTCAAGTTCATCATCAAACCATATTTTGAGGGTGGTCTGAGTTTTCAGGAAAGTCAGAATACCCCCTCTTGATAGAAAACCAGCTGTCGTTTTAAAAACATAGGGACCGCACTTTTTTACGTTGATTTTACTCGCTTCAAAGGTGACAAAAGCATTATTCAAGAAAAACCGAATGTCATGTCCTGGTTTAATCATCGCATCAGTTTTGATCTGGAATTTCTTTTCTTCAATAGGTCCTTCGAGTCTAACCCCCTTCTCCGTAGGAACATCATTCCATTCAGTATATCCTGAGAGATGAGACATATGTTTGATAAGTGAAACTAAGTGAACTCTCAATGTTCTTTTCGATCAAATTCCATCAATATTTACGGTTTGATATTGCTGTGTCATTATATTTAAACCAAAAGATGTGTATATTTTGAGTGTATTCTAACTTGAAGTTCTTAGTTTAAACGTACCTGCGTAACAGATCCCCATGAGAACCATAAGAGAATCTCTGTAGAAACCCAGTGTCCCATTTCTGTATCTGGTTCTGCTCAGCCTGCTTTTACGATTACTTTGACTTCGGAAACTTAACGCTAAAAATGAGATATCAACGATTGAGCGATAATGTTTAAAATTACAAAAAACAACAAAAATCGAATTGAATTGAGTCACGGTGTAACTCTTGAAAATTGCACTACAAAATGATTAAGTAGGGGATAATACCAAATATTGTGATCACAAACAATTTAACAGTAATTGTAGCACAGCTTACTTAACTAAAAATATTTAACTACGTATTTACCAAGATTTTAGGCACAATTATAGTAGAAAAGCCTATTTAAAAACAATTAGAGGCTAACAATGTGTACAAAATGACTTTGCTGCGTGAATAGAAGCGAACTAAGCTATTTTCAGTTACGTTTCTCCTGGACGTGATCGCAAGTATTGCACGTGTTTCAATGAGGTCAGTTCATACACTGTGGGAGTCTGGGACTACGTCTGTATAGCTTAGTAGTATAGGAGTGCAATACACTGTGGGAGTCTGGGACTACGTCTGTATAGACTAGTAGTATAGGAGTGCAATACACTGTGGGACTACGTCTGTATAGAATAGTAGTACTAGCAGTGCAATACACTGTGGGACTACGTCTATATAGACTAGTAGTATAGGAGTGCAATGCAACTGTGGGACTACGTCTGTATAGAATAGTAGTACTAGCAGTGCAATGCAACTGTGGGACTACGTCTGTATAGAATAGTAGTATAGGAGTGCAATGCAACTGTTAAGTGGTAGTATAATTATAGCACTGCCAGGAAAAGCTTCCCGCTAAATACTCCAAATTACAATAACATTAAACTAAAAGCTCGAAATTAAGAGGCCATCCGTGCTCAACTGGGCCCTGGGGCATACCGTATAGCCCGTTATAACGGGTGCTTTATTTAACGGAGGTGCAGGATAAGGGTAGTCTGTACTAGAATAAGGGATACCGCGACACAGCGTATTAGAAGGACCACATTAGCTGAGTAATTTAGTGATGGTTTTCAGATTAAGCTAATAGATAATTGGCTAATGTATATCGTTATGGGAATTAATTATCAATTCATGCATCTTAATAAGCTCTTTTCGGTGAGCACTGAACGTGTCATTTACTATGGAAAGAGGGGGTCAGACAATTATGATTTAAGTATAACCATAGCAATGAAAAAGCAAACTTCCAGCGGTTTCAGTTATCATAGACGTCACTAACTTTTAACACAGCCTTGAGCTAGAGACCAGAGAAACACTCAACATATTTGAAGGGATGACATAATGCAGCCTCACTGCTAGAGGTCAGCTTATATACCAGACTAAGTTAACTGTATGTGACCGGCTTGGTATGGGGTGGAAGGTGGAACGTTTCCCTAACTTTAGAGAACAATAGTCCACGTCCTGACTCACAAGCTTCCATGCATATTAATAAATATCGGGCCTAACACCTTTGAGTTCAATCCTAATTTACCCAAATATTAATGAACTCTCGGCAATTCGGTAGTGTGGCAAAGCACGGTTAACGCACGGTTAAGGCACGGTTAAAGCACAGTTAAAGGCACGGTTAAGGCACAAGGGTTACATAAGGCACGGTTCTTAAGGCACGGTTGGAGGGTTCATTAAATTTATAAATAAACATTAACTAACCCTCCAAGTACCAAGATTACTTGATAAATATTAACGAACCCTCCAAGCTAGCACATTACTTTCAGGCATTATCAGCCAAAGAAGGCCTGACAGAGCAACTAGCGCTAGACAAACAGACCGCCCAGCTGGAGACAGAACAATTGGGAGACAAGGTGAGGGAACAGGACCGTAAGATACATTCGCTCACTGTGGAGAGAGATTTGTTGCAGAACAAAGCGAGCAATGCTAAGGAGACTATAAAGAAGTTAGAGGAACTAGTCACCACTTCTTCTACTCATCTTTATACAGCTCAAGCAGGTAAATTGTGGACTCACATGTATTATTCATCTTCAAAAGTAAAATCCGGGACCTGGGTAAGGCTATCCCGCACCTAGATGGTGTTATTTTGGGGAGGTGCGTTGTTTTGAAAGTTGTTATAAAAGCTGCAACGTACCGTTTAGTTAGGATCTAAGAGAGCACTGACTGTTATGACAGCTACAGTATACTCAGCCTAAGTGACCAAGATGGCGGAGGCAATGTGAGTCATGATAACTAACAAAACACCTGGGCTCCTCTCTTTACAAACACTGTCATTATATATACTGAAGCTGAGGAGCGGGGGGTGGGCTAGTCTGTACTCTGCTTATTAGACCTAGCACTCTCTTAAACACGATTAGTTAGCCCTACTAATCAAATAGGGGTGCAAGGACCCCTGATGACTAGTATATATATATGACAATGCAAACACGGTATACTGGCTGAATGACTCTTGGAAAATCATAATATTAGTACCTTCACGGTATGAAGGCTCAGGGTAGGGTATCTTATCACCAGCCATATTATTTTCAAAACTTAAAAGTTTGAATCTGGATTTTGTTTAGATAATTTTAAAATGTTGTCTAGACAACACAAAAAATTCCAGTAAATTGTCTAGACATTGTCTCCATAGAAACCCTAGCTTTACATAGGCAATTTTTATCATTAGTCACGCTCTTAAAATGAGCTATGACATGTTGTTGTCAATAGATTGATGAGCTGTCAAACTGCAAACCTAGTTTTACAAATACATAGAAGCGTCGCGTTCATCTGGTCTCTAACCACCAGATGATTGTGTTACCTTATATCACCTGATCAAGTGTCTTCACTAGACGTATTGTTATCATTGACTCATGAGTAATGAGTATATGTATATAATACTTGTATGAAGATTTCTTATCTTCAACTTTCTGGAAGATATTGCCTGTAATTCCTCGTAAAGTATTGAGTGCATAAACACTAAATAGCAGGAACATTGTCCACCTCCTAAGATAGCAGCAAAAAACAGCGAGTATACTCAAATTAAGCTGATAACAATTTACAATCCCAGGGAAATCACACACGGAGTCGCAGATAATGCATCTTAAGACGGTGGCTGGAGCCGCGCAGCGCAGCAGAGACGATCTGCACAACAAACTGTCAGAGGTCAATATGGAACTGGAGCTGGTAAATCAGCGCAACAACTTCCTCGACAAACAGGTACACCCTTCATTTGCTGGTTCTTGACATTACCCGTGAATTCATTTTTCTCTAATTACTGGTTTTGCAGGTTAGCCATCGTAAGTAAAAACTGCGCCACAGAAATGAACAACTATTTGAAATTTGAAGAGTGTCAATTTAGTGGGTAAATTAACATTACAGTGATAACACATGTTATAGTATTCAAAGCTAAAAGTTGTAAAGCAAAAGATTAAGAACAATGAAAACTATTTCTACATCATTGGCCGTTTAAATTATTATATATCCTTGCGCAATTTACAACGTTTAAGCTAAACGCTAATAGGATTGAACTGTTGGAATGATTAAAGTTATCGTACGAGACCTGTCACGACGACGAGAACTAATGATAAGACCTCGTCAGATCGGGATGTTTACGTTTTACTTTACCAGAAACTTCTAACACCATCATTCAAACAGTCTTAAACAATAAACACATCATAACTTTAAAGCTTTTCATGACAATGGCTACAAATTTAAATCAGAAGTTTTCATTGAATTGCGTTTTAAGTAGACAGAGACTTCTTATACCATTATCAGTCTCACATGAAACGTTACTGTGACAGGTGCAAGAGCTACAAGATTCGCTGCGAGGTAAGAACAACAGCACAATCAAGATGAAGCAGACCCTTGTGGACAAGGAGAAAGAACAGGACACACTGTTACAACAGCTGGACGAGAAAACGGAGAAGATACATGAGATAAACCAGAAGTTCATGAAGCAAGATAATGAGTTGCACGTGCTGACCATGGAGATAAAGGCTTTTGAGGACAAGTTCTCAGAGCAGAAACAACTTGTCGGACAGAAGGTTGGTTCTTTGTACTTCGGTCTGGTTTTTTTCGTTCATAGCAGAGGAGTGCTTAAGGTAATTTTAGAGTTTTTTAACTGGTGACTAAGTAAGAACCATACAAATAAACATTTTTCCCTCTAGGACCAGGAAGTTGCCAGTCTGAGAAAACAAGTGAACAAGATGATCGAGGAACTGTCACAACTAGAAAGTGTGAAGGAATTAACCTTGAAACACAACAAACAACTAACCGATGATATTGCTAACATGACTTCTGAGAACCAGGTTTGTAACTGTGAGCGGGCGCGGCGGGGGGCGGGTGGGGGGGGGGGTGGGGCTCCATTCAAGCTTAGTTCAGATACAAATTACAGTATCTATCCAAATGGATTTAGTTAGTTCTATTCGTATAAACATTTAAAAACTAATTTCAGAGGCTGAATAGCGAGATGCGAGGTCTTGAGAAACAGGTTCAACTACTAAGAAAGGACTCGAACGAGAAAAGTCACGAGCTCCACAGTATTGAGCACCTGATAGGACTCAAGGTTTGCCATAATTACCAATTACCATACATATTACTAGAGTTCAGGTGGGAAAGTGATTGTTTATAAAGTGGTATCCCTACCATGTTTAACCTCGTGAATGTAGCGTTTGAGTAGGAAGATGACTCCTGGAAATTTGGGTATTCTGACGAAATTATTAAAACCATGGTCTAGAAACTTGAAATGTCTAGAAACTGGAAATATTATAAATTTACCAGATATAAAAGTAACGCAGAAAAAAAACGGAACACATGTAGTACGTGATGGAAATGATAATGAGCTCGTCTTTAGTAGTTCTCCATAAGTACAACAGAAAGTATGTCCGCAGTCCGAACAGATTGAAAAGGCCATAATATTAAACTTAGCAATTAAACCACACATGATGGTATGTATTTATGTGAGCTGGTAGTATTTCTTATTGCTCCTCCAGCTCCCCACATGTCCTCTCCACTGCTCATTATCCCTCAGTATTTTAATGAGCAGTGGAGAGGGAATGTGGGGATGTTTTTATTTAGTTTTTATAGAGGGACTGAGTCTTTAGGTCCACAGCAGGAAAGCATCTAGTTCTTTGCCTTCTTTAGGTTTGTCACATGAGAAAGAGGTGTTCACAAAGGAAAACAGCGTTAACGAGTAAGGAGTATGCGGATTTAAGTGGTTAAAACATGAGCCCTGAGTCCGTAGTTAGTCTGTGTGAGATAACAGCTGGACTCGTCTATTATATAATGATCAGGCTCTCTCTTTTATCTTTTACCCTCAGCAAGGTAAAATAATTGCATAGAATCCACCTAATTCAAGTGTATAATCCACCTAAGCAACTATTTTTACTGCTGGTGCTCTCCTAGCACCGGGCACCCCATCAAATTGTCGTCTCCTGGGTTTGACTTGAAGTTCATTTGTCCGATAGGGGTTCTGTCTTCTGCCGTTAGGTGGTCCTCCTGAGTGGAGAATAGTAAATTAATTAAGGTAGATTGTGGTGATTGAAATCCATCAATGACTATGGACCATTATAAAATATACTCACGTAACAAGAAACATCATCGTCTACGTACTGTTTGTTTTTAACAGTAAAATAAAAATGTGAATTATTACCTTTGCAGAAGAGTCCCAGTACCATTTGAGGAAGTTCTGTTCCAAGAAACCCCCTGAAGCTTCTGACAGTCAGGCTATAAATAAAGAAGTTAGCTAGAATATTCAAGTTAATGATGCCACAAGCAACTTGGAAGTACTTCATGTGGAATGGTCCTGGTGTTACGGGATCTTTAGGCACCCAAGGCTCAGCAATACAGTACACTGCGAATGGTAACAGAGAAACACTGTAAACTATGGCTGTGAGCACGACAGTAATGATGCCTTGCCACTTGAGACTTTCAGCCCCTTTTCCTGCCACTTTCCGTGCCTCTCTCAGCAACATAACTGTTGAGAAGACCAGTATAAAGTTAGGGGCTATTATTGTGAACACACCACTTATTGGTAGGAGAATCTTCCATATCCTTGATGAGTAACCGTGGGTGCAGACGTAGATCCTGTAGTCAAAGATAACATCATCTTTATCCACCAAGAGATGTAGAGCCGGAACATAAAGTGAGGCTATCCAAATACCTGCACAGGCTTTATGAGCCAACCTTAAATTCCAGGTGTTTGTCTTAAACGGGTACTTGAGGAGGATCAGCTTACTTAACACCATGGTGCAGGTGAGGAGTAACGTAACAGTGTTTACAAAGTAATTCAGACAGAACCTGATGTAGATCTGAACTCTATCCATGGGGGGACTGTTAGTGATCATTGATATAACACAAGGAAGAAGATGACCGGCAGAGGTGAGCAAGTCACAAGCAGCTATGTGCTGGATAAAAGCTACTATAATCTTATGAATACGAAATGCTTTGAACTTGATGGAGGCTATAAGTATGGTAGAGTCTCCGAGGAGAGAGAATGTGATGAATAGTGTTATCCATCCCGCGTGGAGGTCCCTCTCTGATTTGTTCTTTATACCAAACATGGTGTAGTTGGAGTAGTTGTACGTCATCTTGCTTAGAAAGTAGGATATCAGACATTTTACCAAGTTGGAAATTGTGTTAATTAATTTATTAGCTTCAACCCAAGTGTGGGCTCAGTATGATGGACTTGTACACATGATGAAGTATTTAAGAAAGCAAGGGAGGTCAAGTAAATGTCAAAATAATAAATCTCATACTACACTGCGTAACCAAACTAAGCTTAATTGTGTCCACCATCTAGTGTGAAGATAGTCAGATGATTAATTATGTATAAGGTTATATCGAACTGTGAACTAGCAAGGTTAACGCCTAAGTTTTGTCAAATACAGAAGTCAGTTTTCTCATTCGTTTCAATGAGCTATTTCGGTGACGAAAATGACTAATTAAGAAGAAGAATGGCCATAATTTAATATATGGTTTAATACAACGTATTCCGTTCAGGGAGACCTAATTCTAACAGCACCTGTGATTTACTCTCTAACTTAACGGCTATTTCTCTCTTACCCTACTCAATCCTCAATTTATTCAGACCCAAGTACTAATGACCATTACACTCTCATATATTAATAGATGGAATATTACGCTTAATTCCGCCTGAAATTATTCTATCGGCCCTGTGCTAACTGATTAAGGAAATATACACTAAGTAGTTCATATTTATCTGTACAACAGCCTTTCAGGCACACTACGATCCAGCTATTTTAGGAACATTTCGTGCGATCATGGTAAATGACCGGATTTTTAATAATATCCCGCCCGAAGCTACAACTGACCCTGCTACTCACGAATAAATTTCAATTCTGCGCACGTGATGTCCCCGTTAGACAGTGTTTATTATGATATACTATACTATATTGTAATGTCCAAACTTCAATCACGTTATGAATTTCACCTTCCGTAAAGTTTAAAACTTTGTTTCTGATCCACGTTATTTTGTAATCATAGGACATTCGATATTTTATTTATTTCCATAATATGCTCCTAAAGAAAGTACAGGGTATGAGATACATCACGATAACCCACCACTAGATGGTAAATTGGAATCACGGCGAACTAAACATTACAATGAAACATAAAAATAAATAACCGCATTATTCACAGGACGCTGATAACCAGGAAATATTTGAGAAGTACCGAGAGTTGAACATGGAATGCGATAGAATAGCTCGAGAAGCTAAGATTAGTGCTGAGAACTGCCACAGCCTGCAGAAGGATCTCGCTGCAACCGCTGACGTAGGAATGATTTACTTATTTATTTATACTAGTGGGATACATATTCCTGAATCCTGGCAATCATTAAGTTTCTTGACATATTATGCTTTTTACTTATAGGGAATTATCATTATACATAATATTATAGTAACAGCTCGGGCATTAAGAAATTCATTATATTTCATCCATACATTTTAAATCTGAATGTTTTCTCCTTGTTGCTAACAAACCACTTCCTTTGTCAGGTAAAGAACGCTCTAGAAGCCCGGCTAAAAGAACAAACCCTGGAGATACAGAAAGTTCTGGCTCACAACGAGAATTTGGAGAATCACATTGGTGATATGGAGTCACAGGTATCTGTTCTGTATTCCGCTCTCAGTCATTTGAAGTAAGTTAACAGGTCTGTTGACAAGACAGTAAGATAGGTAACATTAATTGTATTCTCAGAGTTTAATCTCTCTTATTTGGTGTTCAGGTAAATGAATACGGGAGTCTGGTAAAACAGCATGAGGAGGAGAGGAAACACATTTTACTTGATTTAGAGACAGTTAGAGAGATAAACAACAAGATAGAGGGGCAGCGTGAGGCTCATGCTAGACAAGCAGCTAACAGGTCCGTTACTAAACTATTTATCATGCTTAATTGGAGGTATAAAGGCAGAAAGTATCCTACTTTTGTCACAGCCTCAGCCTCTCAGCCTACAATTACAGTTTCTTAATTTAGATCACGTGACAATCTTATCGCAGGAGTGTAGAAGTAGAACAACTGCAGCGTGTAATAGAGAACCTGACGTCTGACTGCGAGAGTTTAAAACGTCAGGTTGCTGCCGAGAAGGATTGTGCTAGAAACTTGGAGTTCATTATCAAAACTGGCCGACAGCAGGTAATGTTGAAATCGTTTAATCGACCCGGGAATTGGACATTCTCTTTTCTTTTATCTGACACTGTATTTTATAAATGTTAACATGTTTGATACTTTGATAGTCTGAAAACCCCCGCAGTGGTGGAGGCTGGTAATGCACCCAATCTTAATTCGATTACAAGCATTACTCATCACATATATCTTCAGGAGTATGATAACCAGTCAAAAGTTGGAGACAAGCTGATGAGGGTAAATCAGTTAGAGGCAAAGGTTCAAATAAAGGAGACTGAGCTTCACGAAGTGCGGGAGAAGTACCGAGTTGTCTGCGATGATTACGAGAGACTTAAAGAACAAAACAAGAATCTTCTGAGGAGAATAACAAACGAGCAATTTGAGAGGTTTGGATTAAAAGCTTTATACTTTAGAGCGGAAATATGGGGCGGTCACTTAGAGGTTGATGTAACGCGCGACTTTGTGTTTGTGTGCTTGGTAGCAACACACTGTGAGTTCTGCGTTTTTTCGCGCAATAAACAAACGCGCCGAATTCTCAACGGATTTCGCGCGAATCGATCTTGCCGCCTTATCAGTATTTCACCACCGATAAACATCAACGTAAGATAATAGATTTCGACTTTCTAATTACTTTGAGATTTACGGGGAAGAGGAATCTGGTTTCAAAGTTAGACAAATTTTAAAATTTCTCCCTCCGTAGTGGGGTCTGCAGGGTCCAGGGCCCTTTGTTCCGCCACTGGGTACAACTCCGATCACAATTGATGATTGGCTATAGCTGGTAAAGTAACACCTTCTTATTTCAGGGAGAAAGCAAAGAACGAATCGAACATTCTGCAGCATCAGCTCAAATCTCTGACTCCCAAACCACCGTCACCATCACGACATGAAGCCCTGTTTGAGCCCAAATCAGGACCATCTGAACCCAGCAGGCCCCAGCCCGACATCCAGTCTGACTACAAGTACCGTTCAGAACCTGTGTTTTACGAGCACACTCTGTCACCCAGTGTAGTCAGGTCAAGATCTCGTTCTGCCAGGGCCAAGAGATATATTTCATCGAACGACGAAACTGATGATTCGATTATGAAGGAAATAAGTAAGTTTACACCATATTCCTGTAAGCTTCAAATAAGAAAATTAAATTATGTTAATCAGTTACCTTAACAAGTATAATAGTTTCCATATTTTGTTTATAACTAATCCGCACCTCCTGCCCAGATAGGACGATGAAAAACAAAACACCGAGCACAGTAGCGCCCTCTAACATCAGCATACAGGCCTCCAACATTAGCTCCATCATGACGTCCCTCACTGAAACCACCATGGACCAGTCCACCATTGATAGGAGCGAGTTGGAACGTCCTACTGACTCTAGCTTGGATAGTATCGCCATCAAGACAAAAAGTAAGTTTTTGGGACCTTTAGTTGTTTATTTTACGTTCCATAATAAGATATATCGGTAACAGTGATTTAAGGTAGATATCCCTATCTTTTTTACATGTCCATCAACATTTATGCTAACCCAATTGTCTATTTGAATTTGATTTAGATATAGTATTTATATTAAAGTCTTATTCAAGTACTTACTTTGTTACTTATTTGTAGCGTCGATGACAGAAGAAAGGAAGTCCTTTACCGCCCCTACCACTACTACCACTGAACACTCTGATGTCTCTAGACAAAGCTCAATAGTTGTTGAGGATGATGCCGGTCATAGCGAAACGGTGAGTAAATGAAACAGTGTAATGTTCAGCGGTCAAATTGAACCATCTTTGATTGAACTATATTTTAAACGTTAATTAATTTCATAGTATCAGTTGATTAGTGGCAGTTTAATTGGTGCCCGCTCATATACCCAATAAGTTTTAAATAAAGACATTGCAAAATGACATTATATTTAACAATTTACAGACGTTTGACGGCGATGAAGATGACAGCGTTTATCAAGCTATCAGATCCTCGCAAAGATCAAGCCGTCAATCTCAGAGATAGTATCTCTTAATGATATCTTCCTAATCTACTTCAACAATCTCTTCACTACAAATCTTAAGGATACCAACTTGTTTTACTTTAATAGTGCTTTCTTATTTTCAGATTATCATACAGTATCATGTACTTACACTCGCTGTTAAGACGTGAATTTAAGTACAGTGAGTATGATACAATAATATAAAGCATGATATTTTTATTTATCAGAGTCAGAAGTAATCACATTAGAGCTTTAATGATTGTATTACAGCGGGCTGTAATTTATTATTATTAAGGGTTCCGTTACGATATCAATATGACATGTTATGGTAATAATGACTTTCATTACGATTGCCTTATTATATTTCCACATCTTTTCATTACTGAATGTTTTAACGCTAAATGTGACAAAACAAATGTTTTTCAAGTGTATTTATAATGTAAAATATAATAAATTATTCAATTTATATCATGATCAAATTTACACTCTTTTATATGCGAGATTATTAACATAATTTTCTGAGTTTACTCAGAAACCGGCGCATTATTGTGAATCACAGGTGGTAATTAACCACCTTTTTACTTTCTTTTCCCGCCAAATCACCCTTTTCAAGGCCGTGTTTTCTGACACAATGTAAACATTTTAAACTTGAAATTTCCAGTTCTTGAAGCCTTTTGAATTTGTGAGGAGTTTGTCATGTCTTATTATGGTCTTGTATCACGTCGTGACCCCCATTGTCGTTTCACTAATCGTGGCGAAAGCCAACGTGTGACTAAGTGACAATTATGGTCTATATAATTCTCTGTGTTGGGTCAGAGGTCCAATCATGCAGCTAACTGGATTAAGGCAGTAAGGAAGTACATTTTCGTGAAAAGCAAGGGTGAGATGTGCCGAGAGCGGGAATTGAATTATGGTCTATGTAATAGATTCCAAATTGTCAGCAGTTCCAATCTGTTTGTCTTATTCTGCTGTAACCTACAAACTATTCACACAATGTATTTTAACACTACAAAATCGTTATCTTCTAAGTGATAATTACTCTCTAAGAGTGTTCAATACTTTGCGTCAGGCCATTATTTTGCGCAGTACTTCCCCTTTATTTGATAGCTCAATATACTATATACTACACACATTTCTATTGTAATACCCTATCTCACTACATTTCCCCCTGGGTACACGTACTTTAGTTCGACACGCACTCTAGTTCGACACGTACTATAGTTCGACAAAATTTAAAGGTCGACTTTGTCGAACTAGAGTGCGCTACCTGGACTCTAGTTCGACACGTACTAAAGTTCGACAAAAGAACTTCGACTGGATGAGAAAGATATTCATAAAGATAGAATTTGCAATTCAGGATATCTTTCAATTTAGTTTTTTATCGAACAACTTTGAGTCGCATATGAAATTTGATAACGTTCCGTGAGCCAGAAGTACCGATAATATTAGACTTAAAGGACATGATGTTCTAACTCAAAAAGTCACATTCACATTGTCATTATGTAATCTTATTGGGAGCTGATTGAGACAATGGATAACATGATAACTACTTTACAATCTGATGCATAACCAACCTCGTATTCTATTGTTAGTTAGCAAAATTGTAGACTAAGCGGTGCCCCGTTTTATAGATCTAGAGTACGCTTGTAAACTTAAAGTAGGAGAATTACAATTAATATTATTGATTATACTGAATGGTTCTGAAATTTCGTGAATGTTCCCCCTGATGAGGCCCAATCATCATATTATGCAATGTGAACTGTCACATGTGAAGTGTCAACTGTAACATGTGAAGTGTCAACTGTCACATGTGAAGTGTGAATTGTCACCACGGAAGAATCACCTCTGAACAACATTAAACAGTGCCTTGTGGAATGAGAGCTTGCTTTGACTTCCTTTTGCTTCGTTTTGTATACTGTTTTAGGGGCATATTAAATATTTAAACTACTAATGGTCCCCTTAATATTAATATTAATATTGTGTTAAGTAAGCGTTATAAGTTATAAAAAGACATGCCAACAGATATTAACACCTCGTACGGTTCGATTTATTAAGAAACAGTATTCAGGTAAATGTAATCGTGTACCCATCTTGTGCTTTCTTGAAAAGTTCCGTACAGTTCTTGATTCAATACGATAGAATTTGAGATAACTCATGCATATACAGAATCTGATCCTCGGCATACTATAATATACATTATTCTCCATAGAGTGCAAGGTGTCTCCATGAAGATATATGAAATAATGTATTATTATTTATCATCTTATTGTCACGCCATGTAATACATGTAGTTGTACACACTACAAGTACACCATATACATCAGTACTCAGAGTTGGTACTTAATTTAACCCGTCTACTCATCAGCACAGACAGTGTTAATCAAGGAAGTGAACACATCACAGCTGTTACTGCACTGTTTAAGTGAGAATACAACCCGACCGTTCTTCTTTTAACAATCAGTTTTAACTCAGTTTTACTCAGTTTTTTCAATGTCATGTACATTGTACGTGCCTCCTATAACTCGTAATAAGAACAAGTCCACACTCATTACAAAGGTGGTAATCTGAGATGTCGCTGAAAGAGGGGGTTCTGTTTGGTGTGAACGAGGGTGATCATCTTGGTTTTGAGGCTGCTGTGCTGCTGGATGGGCGGCAGTTTGGTCGTCTCTACGCTCTTATCTTCCTTTAGCACGCCCAGCCCGGGTTTTACTGACCGGCCATGTAAATCTTGTTCTTGTAGCTCCTGTTGGGGGTATTTTTGATGATAACGGATTCAGTGACTTAATTTGATCGATGCCATTTCAGTATATAGTGAACATTACATTGGCTTTTCCACACTACCTCGATTGGTTCATTACTAATACAACTTATTTAATTTGAATGGTTATCAAATGATGTACTCGGGGAAAAAACGGCACATTATCAAATTCAAACGTTTTGAGATTTATGGTACAGTACCGTAATGGGTTTCTTACCTCTAATCTGTGATGATATCTGGCAGTCCGCAACACAAGCTGTGTCATAGTTCTCTCACGGCCTCTTCTCTGCTCTTCCTTCAGCGTGTCCAACACCTGGGTAACAGTATTTAGACCAATTACTAGGCGGGGTCATTAGTCATTCCAGTCATTCTAGGCATTATAATTAAAACCAATTACTGGCGGCGTCTGGTGTCTTGGAACCAGATAATTGTACTGCATTATATTGGTGACCTCTGGATACCAAACGCACTAGGTTAAAAGATAATTGTTTAAGTTCAAATAAAGTCCGGCCTGGAAGTCCGGGATTTAAGACTCTGCAAACAATAATTTGCACTTTAAGTTTACGATCGTATGATGATGTAATTGGTATGAAGACGTCCACACGAACCTCATATAGATCAATAAACCTTGATTAGCTGGTACACAACGGCATCAAATAACAGAACTGTGATTAAAAGCTGACCTGCAGTTTCTGATCGAGAACATTCTCCAATCTTCTGTTCAGTTGTTTGGTGTTTAGGTCCAGGATTTGAGATTCTTTGGACAGCCGCATGATCGTCTCCCCAAATGTTTACCTCACATGCGCAATTTGATCTTTCGAGATCTAACGCCAAACAGTCGAAAATAACTATCGTAAGACAGAAAAGCAGCCGATTCTAGACTGAGGATGTTAGACTTAAGAAACGGACAATAAGCTGGTAAAGTCAGAACACTTTAACGTCAAATTACACGGTTACAACGAACAATCGGTTTCTAGCTCGAATCTAAGTATCTTGTGCACGTTCTAGAGTTATTTCCGGACTCAGTTCGTGGTACGTGGTAATAACTTAATAACTTTCTTACCTGGAGACATTTCAGGTGGACCAGTGATTGTAGCTTCGTTAAAGTCACGTGACACGTCAATTTAATTAACTGCAGCTTGTTCGATTGTACTCAGCAAAACGCTCGAAAAATATCCGGCTACTTTCAAACGACGGAGAGGTCATCCAGGATATATATTGAGAGTGATTATTGCTGGTTGCCATGGTGACTTGTGTGGTTAAACCTATTATACATGGATGGTTGTTAAATTGATCCAGGTTTAATGGGATCTAAATCTATTTTATTCCGGTCACGTGGTACTAAGTCTATAAAGACCAGCTTGTGCTACTAATGAGTAATGATATGCATTATGTTGTCTCATATTTATATATTACGATGGACTATTATTTGAAACTTTATGGTTTAAGTTTACTTAGGGAAATGCCTGAAATATTCTCCCGTAACTTTTATCCGTCCATTATTCGACCATGGAAAACATAACCACTTTTGTGACAGTTTGGTAGTTATCAAGAAAGCGCCTATCAGATCATCCAAATCCAATCGTTTAATTTTTTAAAGATCTGAGAATCGCCTTCAAGTAATTTACCGTGCCAAACTTCTGCTAGAATTCCAAAGAAAAAATGTATTTTCAGATCTATCAAAGTAAATTTGAAAATTGTTTACAAATCTATATAAACAATACATATTTCTTACAAACGAAGCTCGCATCAGTCTACCAACCCACTAACTCTAACCCACCAGATAGCCGCATGTCAGCTCCCAAGAAATCTCGGATGGAACACCCTCCAGAGGTCCAGAAGTTTGTCGAGTTCCTCAAGATACGAACTGTTCACCCTGACCCAGCGTACAAAGAATCTCGACTCTGGCTGCTGGACTATGTGGCTGATATTGGGCTTGAGGTAACCGTTTATTTGAGATGCTTACTGTTATATTTTACTGTTATATGTTATGATCTGAATACTCACCCTTTTGAAATCAGAGGTTTGATAGTATTTGTCATCAACTTAAATCCCCGCCTTACGAAAGTGGAACAATAAACTTTAGCTATTGGTAAGAAATAAACAAGTCATTAGGGTAACAACATGTGTTAATATACTCAATTACATTAAATATGTACAAAATCATTCTAACCAATACTAAACTTGTCAACATTTTAACATTCAAATTTCAACCTAACAAAAATTCAAATAAAGTAATAAGCGCGCTGTTTCGTCATGACAGAATCATCAGAAGTGACAGGTTTGCAGGACAGCTTTCTCTTCAAACCCAGAGAACATCCCTTCAGCCAGAACACACCACCCCTAACATTTCCAGCTCTGGTTCTCTCTGCTTGACCCCCGGTTGTGGATCTTCTCCCTTTAGAGGGTTTGGTAAACTCTTTTCTGCTGAGAGTATCTTTAGTGTTCTCGAGGTTATCCGCACTGCTCTGTATTCGGATCAGGAAGGGTCGGAGAGATGGGGTCTTGTGAAGAGGAGCAATCTTCCTCTTCTTCTTGGTATCCAGGGAGACGTTGTGTAGTTTCATTGAAGTGGGTTTGGCAGGGAGGTTAGGCATGGAGACGTGGTGAGATTTCCTGGGGGTTGACATGGAGGTGGGGTTGAAAGGGTTGATGTTGGTGGGTTCCCTGATGTAGAACGAGAACACACTCTTCATGTCATCTTGAGGTGAGATGGGGTCAGAGGAGAGGGTGCCTGACAGGATGGGTGGGAAATATTGGAACATTCTGGGTTGTTAAACTATGAAGTAGGTTAAAGTCAGAAGTACTGGTTGTGAAGTTATAGAAGTAAGAAGTGAGTAAGTGAAAGTTGGTGCTGGTACAACTATCTAGAGGTTCTTGTATCTAATTATGTTCGAATCAAGGAGGTGGTAAATATTAGCTAGCAATAATTAGACAATGTTGATATTGTTTTTGCTCACATTTATACCACCCTTCTTGATAAGATCACGTGATACAACAAGGAGTTATCAGATGTCAGACCGGACCTGATGATCAGCTGGCCTGAATCTCTGCAATTTGGAAGCTAGTGATTGGCTGGTGTGTCAGGTGAAACCAGCTTGTCTGATCAGATCAGTTGATCTGATATTCCTCAGCTGTTTGTTTATTTCAATGTCATTCCTTACTCATTCCATGAATAACTGAATCAAGA